AAGGGGAGCGCGCTTGAGGGAAAGTGTGCATGGGTATGGAGCGGGGAACCGTGATGGGGGGGTTTACGGTGGCGTTACATACTGTACGTGCTGCGGCGTTTGCTTTCCGAGGTCATCAACATGCGGCCTGTCTCGAGATCTCGTACCACACGAGCTACCCTTGGTAGCTTAACGTTCCGGTAGACACTAGACGTCCGGGGTCTCCGGGAATAGCCGATATTTGAAACATTTAGTCGCGAAGTTCAAAAGCTTGCCCGTATGTCTCGCGAGAAAGCCACCAAAACAGCTTTAGATCGTCACAGGAAAAGCCATGCACCCTATGTTGTTTAAAATATGATTTCACATAAGATGCTACTGATACAGCATGGGACTGTTGAAAACTTCAACATACCCTTTACAACGCATGAAAAATCTATACCTCGGTACAGTAGTATACTTTTTTAACCAAGGCTTACATGAGAAGCAGGCTATTCCGAATACTCAATTTGAAAGAGCGGGCTTCCTTTCTCTATCATTAATTGTGTTAGGTTTGCGACGGAATGAAAACAAACAGAATGAAGCGCAATGCGGTGCCGGAAACGGTGGCCTAGTACATAAAACTGCTTGAAACGACGGTTCACTGTTTCTTGTCTTGCACGAATAGTAGCCAAGATCTTACGGTGTTCCCCTTCAACATCGCTTCCTAGAAGGCAGGTGGGATCTTTATAACCTTCATCTGCAACCACCTTCTCCCCGGCAGTAAGTGCAAACTTCATCGCAATTCGATAAATAGTAAGGTCTGGGTACAAGCCACAAGGAAAGGGGCCATGCGTCCAAACAATATGTCCGGTCAAAATACAAACAGCCACCTCATACCTCAATCCAGGGCCTCTGAACTTATGCGAGAACCACTGCGGACTGAATGGGTTTGGTTCGAATATGCGGAAGTCTGTACCGTCGACCGATACTTTGCACGCATTACTACAATTACCAGCGAAGCGGTTTTCCCATTTGATCTTCATTGTCAGACGAATACAAGTGTCATGTAGCATTAAAAGTATATAAGAAATGAGTGCATGCTTCAAGTTAGTGTCAACTTCCGGGATTAATAATGTGTTGCAGATTATCACGTACGATTTTTAGATCCGCAATTAAGTTGACGAAGCACCACGACCATTTCCGGAATGTTTTCACGTCGACCTGGGCAATCGTTCTATGGGTCTCCTCGCTCCCATACACTTTTAAAAATAGGAGAGCCCATAAAAGATGCACGGGCCTGGACGAGGTCGGGCGAAGATGTCCTAATAGATGCCAGGTATGAGAACATACGTTCGGTGTGATACCGAATAGTGCTCGAAAGCGGGAGCTCTCTGTCCGCACACTCAAGCCAGGACTGTTCCGTATCATCCCACCAGCAATTTCCGCAAAACGAGACGGGGAAATATGCATTCTTTCTGGACACGACGTGGTTGCCGACAAGACCCGGTCACGGAAGAGTCTGCGGGCTTCACCACCGACCAAATTTATATGGGATTACGAAGTTCGTTTGTATTGCATGAAGCGTCAAAAAAGCAGAAGGTACAAAAAATAATAAAGGATTCCGTGCTAAATATACAACTAAATTACTAATTTTGGCATCTCTGCAGCGTGCAAAAAGTACATCCGAAACTATCGTTTTTGCTTAACTTTACATGGCGAAAGTTTTTTTCTCTTGGTACTTTGAGGCTACAACACTCCTTTACTAAATTCTTGGGGCAATCCCGTGCTCGACAATTAACGCAAAAGCATTAAAAACAACTCCAGTTACCGCTGGAAGGACACTGAAGAGGCGAAAGTATCGTTTTTCCCCGATAATATCGCTTAGTTTTATGCAATTTTTAAGCGAAAGAAATATTTGGTTTCGAGTTGCTTCACATTTTCATAACGCGCTTGGGGTACTTCTGCAAACTTCTGCAAAAATGTAGGAACGAATGAACTCTACATGACTATAATCGGCACTGCAAAAAAGCTGTTATATTAAATTCCTCACTCCAAACGGTACTATTTACAACTGCAGTAAAACATTAAGGCACCCCAATTCTTTGTATTGTTTGATAAATACGCTTCTGTGACGTGGCACATGACCTGTCATGCACATTTGGCCTTCCCGCCAACTTCATTTCCGGTACAGCGGCTTTGCCGCGAGTTGGGATGCCGGGGTTTCCTCCGGGATGCTATGTTGGATTTGTCAGCGCGAGGCAATAGTTTTACCCTTTATAAGTAAACGTCATCTACTTACAAACTTGAGACTTCTCTCCCTCAACATTCCCTCGTCCTCATTGTTTTCAACCTACCAAGACAGCACCCCATTCTAACCTAAGTCTGTATTTTTTCCTCACGCCGCACCCTCTCTTACGAGCTCAGGGATCATGGTTTCTGTCGGACGTTTGACCAAGAAGTCACTGGCTGTGCGCATGCTGCGTTCGAAGTTTGAGAAGGGGGAGGTCACCGGAGGTGAGTCACCGAAAGCTGTTTGGGAATCAGATGCGGTATTCCAAAAACACAAGCTGGGAAATTTTCGTACTTGCTACAACGCCATGCGTATAGAATTTGGAAGCAAACCAATCACGAGAGGTAAGCCTGACTGGGAGTGTGACATTTACATGTGATTTATGATTGATATGTTTAACATTCAGTTGTCAAACTAATTTTTCTGTATTGTAAAGGCGTTGAGGCAGATGAATCTCGCGACAGTGTGGCCCTTGACCGACGTTGTAGTGCCACAGAGGGGCCTGGTTCTGCCTGTAAACGACGGGCGTCGACCGTATTTGTGGATGACGATGAGGAGAGTGAAGAGGAAGAAGTGAATACTGGCGCTGGCGCTGAGCTGACTGCGGGAGAACTAGCATTTAAGCCATTGTTCATGATCTCTAGGTGGATTGAACGATCTACATTGACTAAGCGTCTGTGCGTGGCGATTATCTTGCCATCTGGAGTCGGCTCTGGTGATTTTACAATTACAGTGGTAGATGGAGGGCATTTTTTACAACTTGCTGTACGATGGCCGAAGCCTCTTGTAGATGTTTTAATTATGCATCGTTGGAAACTATCTAATCCGAGCAGTGGGTTTATGTCCTACCATCCCTCAGTTATAGGATTCGAGTCAGCTTTAAGCGACCTCCGGAAGAGGAGTTCTGATGCTGTGGAGTCTATTGCGAGGATATCTTTACCGTTCGAGGTAATCACGCAGGTAGTTTCGAAAAGCAACCTATCTTTCAAGGAGGGAGGTGGGACCAAAATGCTGTACGTTGACCTAAAGGCTGCGGCGGTGGATGAGTACGGTGTAGTGGCTGATACTGAGGAGTTTACTGAAGTATAAAAGAGCTCAACATGTTTAGAAATAGGTGGCGGTAGAGTATCGTTTGTTTGGAACTTGTATTGCCAAATATCGAGTTTTCCCGGATCCCCCAGCACCCATTGCAAAACCTGTGCCTACTCCGTGGAAGGAGGGCAGAATTACAGTGACGTAATAAAAAGGACGGCACAGCCAAAAGAGGGCCAACCTCCTGCGCACCCCAACGCACAACATCCCCGCCCTGCCTACCTTGACCCATCACACGCCCACACACCCACACACACACCCACGCACACACCCAGAAGCACACGCGCACCGAGCACGATCGCTTTGCGTGCCACACCTCTACTTTTCGTGATTTCAGTCAGCCATCATGGATCCTGTCAGTCTCCTAGGCCTGACGGGCCCGATTAAAGACGCCATTGCTCTTATTCGTCTTCTCAAAAAAGTACATGATGCTTACAAGACCAACGGAGACTTGGCCGAAGACGTGCTGAAAGAGTACGAAGAACTGAAAGAATATACAGAACGCGTGGCACAAATTCCCATTGACGATTTGCAAACGCTTCACAAGAATGAAATACAAAACATTATTGATTCCGTGTGGAGCTCTGTCTCAGAGTTGGTGAAGAAACTTCGCCATGAAGTAAATAACCCAAGGGGCAAACTCAGTGCCTTGACCGCCATCAGCGACCGGGAAGTGTTGAAAGAGCGCCAAGGAAAAGCCAAGGAACTCCGTCATGCTATGAAGGATATAAGGATGGAGCTGCATATAGTTGGTAAGATAGACTCGCAGAGTGGAAAAGAAAAGTTCATACCGAGTTTTTCAGCTGATCATAACCCTCCGTCAGTGCACGTTGACTTGGGTTCTGTTGAAAACCATCCTGCTCCTGACACGTTTGAGAGGAAACTGAAAGCTGCTCTGTTGAGGAATGGAAGCACTTCACACGTAGGGGCAACGGCGGTTGGACAAGCCGGAGTCGGAAAGACATGTGCACTACGAGCAATTGCACATGACGAGGAGATTGTTACGCGCTTTCCAGGTGGGGTATATTTTTCAACTCTGGGGCAAGACGCAAGAGAAGGGCAGCTGAAACAAGAACTTTGCAATGCTGTCAAAGTGTCTGGGGGACGTGAAGAAGGGGACAAGTTATCTAAGGAGACGGACCTTAACGTTGTTCTAGCCGGGGTGCAGAGCTGGTTTACGAATCAGGTATGTCTGTTCATTTTCGATGATGTGTGGACGCGCAACAACAACGACAAGAAGGTTCTTCTAAAACTGTCTCGACTTGCGAACACTGCAGTGATCGACGGAGAGCCAAGGAGCAGGGTTCTGTACTCTATGAGGGATCCGAGCCTGACACATCTCGGGATGCAAGTGAAGTTCAGTGCGAGAGAAAATCGAGGGGAAGCTGCGCGCAATATACTGGTTCATACGAGTGGGGCGTCGTTTAATGAAATAGAGAATGAGAAATCGAGAGAGGCATTTTGCGAGATTCTTGACATGTGCCGTGGGTTGCCACTAGCACTGAATATTGCAGGAGTTAACGTGAAGAAATGGAGAGGAGATCATGTTGAGGACATGCCAGGGTTATGGGTGTCATACTTACGGCAGATCGAAGAAAACAAAGAGCCTAGAGCGATAGGAACAGAAAAACCAGAGGACGAGTACGAATCGCTACACACAATGCTTCGTTCGTCCATACGAAATCTGGACTCAAATGGGACGCGAGAAGGTCTATCATTTGGTGAAATGCACCGGGGATTGTGTGTGATGAAGAAACAGGATGTGATTCCTCTTACTGTTTTGAGAGATTTCTGGGAAACGGGAGATGTGAGGTCGGCCGAAAAGTATGCAAGAGAGATGAACAGCGTTGGGTTGGTCGACATTCATCATGAGGTGAAGTCGAAAAACGTGGAGATAGGGGTACGTCTTCATGACCTCACGCATGATTTCGCAATTCATGAAGCCGAGCAGATGGAAGGCAGCAGTTGGGAACAAAAGTGGCATCGAAAGGCAGTGGATAGCTATCGGAAAGAAAGAGGGGTGTTGGAAGCAGTGGTGGAGGATCAAGGCGCTCAGGCAAGTGACGCAAGGGAGCAGTACTTTTTTGAGAATGTTTGCCGTCTGTTGTTGAAAGGAGAGATGATGACTGAGCTGCGTGGTTTGCTTGTTAGTGCGCGGTGGATAATCAAAGTTTTGTTGAGGAAGGCTGTGTGGCAACTGGAGGCAGCCGTGAAAGAGGTGACTGAGGTCTCGTGTCAGGGGACAGGGACAACTGGAACCGCTGGAACCGCTGAAGACGAGGCGTTATCGACAATAGCATTGGTGATGAAGGCTGCGCGATTGAGTGCACCATTTTGCGACGAACACGTGGCAGGTATCTGCTTTCAGCTTTACGATAGGACGATGCACAAGCGGGAATGGAGAGACGTGGAGGCGTTCTTGTCGGAGATTAAGCGGTTTGCGCCCCGACCATGGCTGCTGCCATTGCGTCCATGTCTACCTAGAGCTGGTGAGAGGCTGTTAGAGACATTCAAGACTCTAACTCCTTTGACCAACGTGGCATTCGATTCAGAGGGTGCGGTGGTAGGATGGGCTTATGGTAAGGAAGCGACCGCCACAGCGTTGCAGGTATTCACATTTACTCAACAGGAGACTGTTGTTAAAAGTATTTCCAACAATGTGTATGGGGGTCGGAGGTCCGACGAGGGAGAGACTGTGATGGATGAAGAACCGGAAACAGAAATGTCCAGGCTAAGTCAAGTGTTGGAAGAGGGACGAGAACCGGCACAGAGAAATCTTTGTCAAGATGAAGCATCAACAGAAGCGGCCAGGCCAACTGTTTCAGTACCAGAGGAACGATTGCAACGGACGGAGAGAAAGAACTGGGTTGCAAAAGTCGGGCAAGAAATTAGGAAAAAAGTGAGGGCATGCAACTGCTTGCGAAGAGGTTTTGAAGTTGCCTACACTAGTGAAAACGTTGTGCAGGACTCTGAATCACGGGTACGCAGCACGAGTAGACTTTCAGGGGCTAGTAGCGTTAGCGCAACTGGACCGCATGATAGTGTGAGCGGAGCCTCTGGAACTGAAAGCGTGGGCGGAATACCAGGATCTGAAAGCGAGACCGGACGTGTAGCTAGGGAGGTGACGGCAGCTTTTGTTTCTCGGAACAGCAGCCGTGCAATTCTTGGACACGACAACGGGGATGTCGTTGCTTTGTGTATGAAACGCAAGGAAGTCATTCAATGCTTCAAAGGCCATTTGGATAAGATAACTGCTGTAACTATGAGCGAGGACGGGAAACGGGTTGCGTCAGGATCACGTGACAATACAGCACGAGTATGGGGATTTGAGACGGGGCGTCAAATCGGGGAAGCATTGGAGGGACACTCGGATTGGGTAAAGAGCGTGGCGATGAGCTGGGACGGGAAACGGGTTGTGTTGGCAGTTGACAGCACGGTGCAGGTGTGGGACGGCGACACGTGGCGTCAAGCCTGGGAAGCAAAGATCGAACACGCGGGATGGATATCGAGCGTGGCGATGAGCTGGGACGGGAAACAGGTTGTGTCGGGGTCATTGGGCGGCACTGTCCAGGTGTGGAACGGTGATACGGGGCGTCAAGTCTGGGAAGCAACGCCTTATGTCGAGGATTATGACGTGAGCGTGGCAATGAGCGGGGATGGTAAACGGGTTGTGTCGGGGTTTGACTGCACGGTGCGGGTGTGGGACGGTGACACGGGGCGTCAAATCGGGGAAACAATTACCGAACACCTGGATCGTGTTATTAGCGTGGCGATGAACGGGGATGGGAAACGGGTTGTGTCGGGGTCACTTGACAACACGGTGCGGGTGTGGGACGGTGACACGGGGCGTCAAATCGGGGAAACAATGACCGGACACACGAGTCAGGTAACAAGTTTGGCGATGAACGGGGATGGGAAACGGGTTGTGTCGGGGTCACTTGACAACATGCGGGTGTGGGACGGTGACACGGGGCGTCAAGTCGGGGAAACAATGGCACACCGGACTTGGGTGAACAGTGTGGCGATGAGCGGGGACGGGAAACGCGTTGCATCGGGATCAGAAGACAGCACGGTGTGCGTGTGGGACAGTGACACGGGGCGTCAAATCGGGGGAACACGGACCGAACACTCGGCTAGTGTAAATAGCGTGGCGATGAGCGGAGACGGGAAACGGGTTGTGTCGGGGTCACGTTACAATACAGCACGACTGTTTGACGTTGAGACAGGGGGTCAAATCGGGGCAACAATGACAGGACACAAGGGTCGTGTAATTTGCGTGGCTATGAGCAAGGACGGGAAGCGGGTTGTGTCGGGGTCACGTGACAAAACAGCACGAATGTGGGACGACACGGGGCGTCAAGTCTGGGAAACAAATACCGAACACACGGGGTGGGTAATGAGCGTGGCGATGAGCTGGGACGGGAAACGGGTTGTGTCGGGGTCATCGGACCACACAGTGCGGGTGTGGGACGGTGATACGGGGCGTCAAATCGGGGAAGCAATGGAGGCTCAGGCCCCTGTAACGAGCGTAGCGATGAGCGGGGACGGGAAACGGATATGGTCTTGGTCCCAGGGGTTTGACTCTCTGGGGCCAAGTGGAACAGTTCGGGGGTGGAAACAGAGGTCGAGTAGGTTGGATATGCCAGTAGCCGGTAGCGGTGTATGGGTGCCGGAAACATGCGGCATTTGTGAGGTGAGCGACAAGATAATTCACAAACAGGGAGACGGCTCCGAAATCATACTGGCCCACCTCGAATGTTGGGCAACTGACTTCATGGTGAATATGGAGTGTGAGACTATAGTTGTTGGTATGGAAAACGGCTCGGTCGGTATTATGTCGGTTATCAGTTCTGATGACGATGCGAGTCAATAGGATAGGATTAGTGTGGTAAAATCTATTCTGACGGTGTTGTTCCCTGTGAGGATGCACATGTTCCAAAGGTATGGACTCGTGAATATGGTGAAGTCGAACCACCTACGGATGACAGCGGGGGCTTTCTGCCGTGATCTTCGGATTGATCAACACGTGATCTTGTTCTTGTCAGACCGGTGCGGCCGCCACTGTCCTCCCTTGAATTATTCATGCTCCAAGAGCACGAGTATAATCTCTTCTTCATCCCGCCCCGCAGCCGTCCACATTGCGCGCAATGACGTTAAACTCCGCAGCCACTGTCAAAAGCATGCCCAAAAGATTGACTCTCTCCGAAAAAGCAGCTATATTCACCAGCTCTGTAATGGTTTCACCGTGAGAGATGCAGCAACTCGTTTCGGTTGCAATCCACGAACAATTCAAAAGATCCGTAAGAATTCTGTACGAATTCTCAATGCTGTGCATAAAACCCCATCGAACACACAGTTCAAAGCACTCAAGGCATCTAAATATCCCGACATCGATGCCGCACTTTATGAATTTGTGCAGATTGCTCGCGGAGCAAAGCTGCCGCTCTCAGGCTCGGTTCTCTGCTGTCGAGCGTTGCAAATTAGGGATATCCTGTTGAAAAAAGACCTACCGAGGGCAGACGAGAAAGAGAACACGGCAGACGCTCATTTCCGAGCATTTTCAGGAAAGGACCTATGCCAGCAATGCGATCTTAATAGTTCGTTCTGTCAATAGTTCGCATTTTTGGGTCCTGGCAGGGGGGCGAACTATTGAGGGGTGCCTACTGTATCATGCCTCTAGTGACACCGTCGCGTCCAAAACGCGCATGTTCATGAACTGTGATGGTACCCATACACGTACACACGTAGCGCACATCACACACGCTCACCGGCTCATCCATGTCAGCTTGAGACCGCTACACTTAGTGTAGAGGGAGTAGGATCAGAGAGTAAAGAGAGGGTATCGTTCCTGCAACACAGTAACAGCTTCTGCGTGGGAGTTGGATTGTATGAAGCCTGAGAGGGGACTGCAATGCCGCGAATGGCGAGGGTGGGAAATGGGGCGGGAGGGCCGCCTCGTTCAAAGTAGCGGCGGTACAGGTGCGGAATGAGGGCAATCGGCTGCACTAGACGTACCTTGCGCACAGCTGGCTGCATAACGTAGTTGATGAAGGAACTCTGCGGAGCCTGGGGGTGGTTGAGGGCGATGATGAGAGTCTCAGAGAGTAAGAAGAGTCCCGTGCGAAAGGGGGCGGAGTAAAGGGCTCAGGGAGGAGAATTGCAAGGAGACGGAGAAGTGAGTGTGTGCGGAAACGGAGCCGGTCTGCGATATTCTCGATCTCAACGTTCCATCACGCCCATGTGTCGTATGCATTGCACCCTCCCGACGTGTCTCTCCTATCCAACGCCTCCGATTCCACCGATTCCACCGCCTTCAGTTGTGCGTACACCCTCCCACGAACCTCGCCTTTTCACCTCGACCATCACCAGTCATTTCATATTCCACGTTCTCTTCAGAAAGCCTCGCTTGCCGGCTCTTTGCAATAGGATGCCGTGTTCTCCTTACTAACAACCGTCCCTGTCTCGCCAGCTGAAAGTGGATGGCCGGCCGCTTCTCAAGCGTTTGATGCAGTCGTTGCCTCTGCAGGCGCGAAAAGCTACCAAGGGAAAGGTACGGGAGCGGACTTTCCCACGTCTACATGCCCATAGCATGAGGCTGCCCCTGCCCCTGCAGTCATCGTTTCTGGGAGAGGGACGATCAGGGATATTTAGGTCACTATCGATTTGCTCGCGGGTGTAGAGAGGATGGTCTGTGCGGGCCTGGGGTGGAGAAGGCTACCGTTTGGGGGAAAGAGAGGGGAATACAGGGTATGTTAGCGATGGAGGGTAGACTATTAGCGGGGGCATCCTATTGCGCTTCGACATGCTCAGCCATTCTTATCCCGTTGCCTACCTAGCTGGTATACGAAACGTCTCTCTCCTCTTAGGATGTGTAGTACGCCTCATACGACGCCTCGCACCTGCACAGCCGCCCTTTCCACCACACGACCCTCTGATCCGACGGTTGGGCCCCCTGGTGGCGCACATTTACAGACAGGCCACACTGAGTCCTGACGCTGTCGACCCACTGTCGACGCACTGGAGCAGCCGCTCTTTGAGCTCCCTTTGGCGCTACTTCAGCGTCTCTTATGGAGCACTTACGGAGGATTTGTTGGTCATGGAGCTCTTGTGGGGAGTTTCGGTGTGTGAAGCCAATGGGAATTGCAAGAGCGCACCCTCTTCGCTGCTATATGGCAAGGGTTGGCCCAGACAGGTTCATCTTAGGCGCATAAATGGGCTTCTCAAGATGGGTTGTGGTAAGGTTTTATCCAGTTGAGGTTTGTCTTGCGACTTTCGAGTCAAAAGTAAGGTGCTGCGCCTACATTTCCTTCTTCACCTCAACTATTGTACGTGCCGTACCTGGACTCGTCCATTGGTGTGCAGTGGAAGAGCGAGTACGGAGAACTAGTGCAGCAAGGGATTTTGCTTTTCTGAAAGTTACCGTAAATGGGTGCCAATGTTGTAGTTGCACTATTCCGCGAGAGGAGAGCTTTTTCATGGATTTGGCAAGGCTACAACCTCCCGGTTGCACAGTGCCATGTTCACCAGAGCTGCATATGCAGCCACGGCTGTTTCCATTTTTAGGAACGCATGAATCGCATTTGAGAACCACTACGACGTTTCCTTCAGATTCTTCTTTTTATGGTCCGCTTTGCTGTGAAAACTTTCATATTCCTCTCACGTCTGCGTGTGCTTGGCACCAATCATCTTCTGTTGTTCTAAGTTTACTCCTCTGTGCAACATCTCATCAGGGCCCTGCCGAGGACATTTACCTTCGTCGCCAACCGCCTATACTCTCCCGTATACAACAGTATGACGTGGGACACAGCCTTTCATGTCCACAATGTGGCAAGCCGCTACGCACGCTCAGCACCCCGCAATGCCTGCATTCAAAGCATCAAAGCATTGTTGCCAGAGGTAGTACATCCCTGATACCGACCGCACTGTTGCCAAAGGACTCGCCTACATCCCATGTCCTAGTCCCGAGATACCCAGTCCCCACCTCGTGCATGCCTGATCTATACGGCATCGACAAAATATCTTTTGACAGCTACCGACACCAGCGCTTTCTCTCCCTTCCCATCTCCGCTGAAATCAACCCTGGACAGATCCCTTCCTATGTCTGCCGCACACGGTCCATCCTAGCTTTTTGCCCCCTGTTTCTTCAGAAGTCCCCACTTCCTCTCCTCACGTTCCCCTCCTGTTACATTGTTGCACTACCGTACCTCCTACCTGGGAGTGCCCTGCTCCCAAAACTACGTCCCTGTCTCACCAACCCCTCCGTGTTACCCAATCTGCAAACCACTCTCCACCGTGCCTGCCAGTGCATCACGCGATTCCAAAAAAAAGCTCTTTTCCCCAAACGCCGTCTATACTGCCAATTCCACTCGCCGTAGATCACGCAGATCATGCCGTGCTGTCTGGTGACAAGGCACTATTTTGTTTCCACATAGCGCATGTAAGATGACGCAGTTGAACTGCCTTCAACACTGATTTTCAGCTCTAACGCCCACTAAAAGAAGGAAACACATCTTTGTATCGTTTTGATCGTGATTGCATCTCATAAACTGCGGAAAATTAGTCTTGAAAAGATATTTGGATATCTTCTTGTCCGAAAGCAGGACGAGCGCTCCGCTGTGATCCCTGCCCATTGCCCACCTTCACCCCTTACAAGAACATCACTTTGTTCACTGGGTTACTCCCTCTCACGTGCTCACCTTATACACACCCGAGAAAGTTAGCCTTACTAAGGACATGACTTTTTTTGTATGCGGCAAAGGGGTTTGATCTGAAGGCCCTTTGAAAGCGCCGTGGTGTCGGGCTTTGGCAAGGGAGGCTATCTTCTTTTCGGCACAGGACAACGACATCAATGTTGAGGGAGAAAACGTCGTTGATATGGATAGTTTTAGATTTTGGCAGCGTATTCTCTCTCTCCTCAATGGTTTCTCGTCGCACGTATCCGGAAGATTTCCATGTCTCAACATTTGAACATCTGGCGGAGGCGTTAATCTGATGTCTGACACGCAACTTGGCGGTTGGCAGTTGGGCAGGGATACCTTAAAAGCGAGATTTGGGGAAATGGGGTCAGTGTGCGAAGCAAGAGGCTTCGGGCTTGCGTCATTTCTCGCTCTATAACTTTCGCGTTGTCAGTGCATTACAGATTATGGCATGTAGTCGATCGAGAGCATTTGTGTTGACGCCGTTCATTGGCGCTCATCATGACGTTGTTCGAGTTAGCCGTGCGCCATGGTACGAATCGGGGCTGGTGTTGAGGTCGTGCGAGGGCAATTCACTATATCCCCAACACCTAAATATCACCGTTCTCGCCCTTGCTCGAGTGGGCAATAGGCGAGAGGGAGAGCGCCTGTTATGTGTTGAGGAAGTGCCGTCGGCTCTCAAACGATGAGAAGCATTGTTGCGTTCACTATATCCACAAGAGTCGAGTACGTTCTTCTTCACGTCGCATCTTAACGAGGAACGACCTGTCAGTCCCAAGAAGAGGACACGATTTTCTTTCATTTCCGCATATCTTGCTGGTTGGGATAAGCAGGTTAATATTATATACTTTCGGAAAGTGGACTCCGTTTTTCGCTGATAAAACGACTCTACTTCCTCTATTTTGCATCTTGGTCGCATCTTCTGAACCCTATTCCCAATTCCGTTCGTTTTGATGAATTAGGTATTAATTTCGTATGCTTTCTGACTGTTTCAGTAGAAGTTGTCTTATAGTTTCAAGGAGCACTTTCTCCATTAAAAAGCAACCAATGTATCACTACAAGAGCCTGCGGGACGAACCGACCGGTTCGGATCTAATTGTATGGTAATCAATGCTCTCCTTTTTTCTTCTACAGGTGCATCGTTTGCCATTATCAGTTGTGTTCAAAGCAATACTTTCCTTCTATTCGAAGGCTGACAGTACTTCGGTCCT